GAGGGGCCCAAAACTGAACACAGTATTCGAGGTGCGGCCTCACCAGTGCCGAGTACAGGGGCACGATCACTTCCCTGCTCCCGCTGGCCACGCTAGTTCTGGTACAGAGTTGAAGACCAACTAGTCGGTCTTCAAGGTGTCTTCCAACCCAAACCATTTTACGATTCCAAAAGGCGGCTTTGGAAGCCAAAACCTAAGACTTTGGCAAGTAAAAACGAGGCTTTGGACGCTAAAAATGTAGCTTTGGAGCTGAAAGCGAGGCTCGCGGCCCTAAAAATGAGGGTTTAGGCCCTAAAAATGAAACTGGGGGTCCTCCAAAAAAAGGTAATTAAAGGCAGGTTTGGCCCCTAGAAATGAGGAGTTCAGCCCTAAAAAGGAGGCTCCCGTCCCTAGGATCCCAGCTTTGGGCTCTACAGATGAGGCTTTGGACCATAAAATGAGGATTCGGGCCCCAAAAGGGGGGTTTGGATCATAAAAACGAGGGTTTGGCCGCGCAAGACGCGGCTTGGACCCCAAAAACGCCTGGTTGGAGCCTAAAAATGCCACTTCGGAGCCTAAAATGAGGCTTTGGAAGCCAAAACTAAGACGTTGGAAAGTCTGTCCCCTGTCAGCCTGTGCCCCCCCCCCCCCCCCGGGGGGGCCTGGGGGGAGGGGTGCGGGCAGGGCCGGGCCCTCCATGAAGGCGTGGCCTTTGCCGGCCTTGGCACCCCCCCCCCCCCGGGATCTTCCGGCGTGTCCCACGTCACCCCGCATCACCCCACCCCATGCCACCGAGCGGGTGCCACACGGGTGCCACGAGGGCCAAAAGGGTGACGTGTGGGGTGACAGTGTGAAACACGGGGTGACACCTGGGTGACGCGGGTGCCACAGGTGTCACGGGGTGACATGGGGGGGGGGGGGGAAAAAAAGGGACGACACACGACACGACCGCCATGACACGTGGGTGACCGGGGACATGGGTGGGGACCACAGCCCCCAGCATGCCGTGGGGTGGGGAACAGCCCCGTCACCCCACCTGGCGACACAGGCGGAGCTGAGGACAGCGCTGGGCTCCTGTCCCCGTCCTCTGCCAGCACCTCACGGCCACCCCATGGTGACCTGCCGGCACTGGGGACCTCTTGTGTCACCCCGCGTCACCCCGGTGACAGGGGCAGGGCAGGGACAAAGCGCAGAGCCCCCAGTGGCGGTGGGACATGGAGAAGAAGAAGCTGGGTGAGATCAAGGAGGACTTGGGAACCCTGGGGAGGTGACGGGGACCCAAGTGGAGGGGACAGGGACCCTAGCGACCTTCTCCCCCGTCTTGGCCGTCAAGGATAGAGCCACAGCCCCCAGCATGCTGTGGGGTGGGGAACAGCCCCGCCACCCCACCTGGCGACACAGTCGGGCCCGGCCACCCCATGGTGACCTGCCGGCACTGGGGACCTCTTGTGTCACCCCGCGTCACCCCGGTGACAGGGGCAGGGCAGGGACAAAGCGCAGAGCCCCCAGTGGCGGTGGGACATGGAGAAGAAGAAGCTGGGTGAGATCAAGGAGGACTTGGGAACCCTGGGGAGGTGACGGGGACCCAAGTGGAGGGGACAGGGACCCTAGCGACCTTCTCCCCCGTCTTGGCCGTCAAGGATAGAGGCTTGGGCAGAGGTGGACACGTCCCGGAGATCAACCTCTGGCTTCGTGGCTGGTGTCCTCACCACGGCATCCCACGAATGGCCAATGACGGATGTTCTTCAAGGAGTCCAGATGATTGGGCTGAGGTGGGATCTACCAGTCTAGAAGATGAAGGAGAACCTTCGCTGGTTGACCGGTTGACTTGGTGGATCGCTCTTCAACCTAACAAACTTGTGGGGTGGAGCTCCAAAGCTCACCAACGCAGAGGAACTTCTTGGCGAGGTCAAGGTTGGTGGTGCCACGATCACGGCCTGGTGGAACTCCTGAGCTTGAGGGATACGGGGCAGCTCCAGGGTCAAGACCTCAGGGCAGTTCTTTAAGGGACTCGTGGAGGCGACCTCCTGGGAAAGCGTCCTCAGGGATAAAGGACGACCCGTGGTGGAGCAGGGACACCCGATGGAGACTGCAGCCCCCGGAGAACACACGAGGGAGCAGGATCGCTCAAGAGGGGCTGCAACCCAACCACGGAGGACCCATGGTGGAGCACGGGCACCCAAGAGGGACCGAAACCCCTGGAGAACCCACGGTGCAGCAGGACGTCCCAGGAGAACCGCAGCCCGTGGGCAACCCACGGTGGAACAGCACCACCACGAAGTCCCTGGAGGACCCACGGTGGAGCAAGGACACCCGAGGGCGGCTGCAACCCAACCGTGGAGGACCCACGGTGGACCAGGGCCACCCCCTGGGGACTGAAGCCCCTGGAGATGCCACCTCGGAGCAGGAACCCCCCAGAGAAGACCAGGCATGAGACGTGACCCTGGGGGGGGGCGGCTGACCTTTAATAGGACCTGGAGAAGTACACATTGGGGGGTCCCCCCCCCACCCCCCACCCCCCTCGGC